CAAGCCTCAGTCCTGAAATTAGTAGAGTTAAAATTATATATTATTACATATATTATATTGAGGAGTTTCTGGTTAAAAACCCAGTGTCTGTTAAGTCACCATGTGGCTACGGGCATTAAAAAAATCCCAGCCCTCCATCAGTGGGAACAAAACAATGAATGACAAAAGCTTATGCTGACAACATGCAACAAAGTGCTGTGCACTGGCTAAGCCATTGTTTTCTGATGGAGAGCAGTGACGAGTAACTAAGAGCCAATCTACCATCATCATTTATTGCTGGGTCTTTCTAGACTATGAAATGTTGGCCCTGTATCAGAAAAGGCACTATGAAAGTCCAAAAAGGTAGAAAGTGGATCCATGTTGTCTGTCCATGCCAATCAGTTTCCAGGCGAGACTACAGAGTTCTGCTTTTCTTTTCTCCGACCTTGTAGGGAGATATCATTCAATACTTCCACCAAGGAGGTTGTTGTCACCCATGTCTGTTTGTTGGTGTATTTGTTTATTTGTTCCAGCATGTTTCTGGAATACGTTTTAGAATAAGTTGTGTTTGTGTATACAAGAGGTGCAACAGTCGTAGCTTTGTAAATGCTCTTAAAATAAGATGAATTTATTGATACTCTAACGAGGCACTGCAATGTTCATATGTAGAATAATAAAGAAGATCCTGTGTTAGTCATCAGATTTTTTACTATCAGAGATGATGTTCAATAATAGAGTCCAGTCTATAAGGTAGAGCATAGTTTCATGTTGATCGTCTGATTGATTGTTTAAAGTTGTGATTATGCGTGATACAGATTAACGTCAATTCCAAAGTTTAAATACCACTCAATTTCCTGCCAAGTGTCAGACAATCTATGTAGTGTACTTTGTGGTTTACACAGACTTAAATTTAGTGCAAATCATTTTTCATGATGGAACAAGAAAAACAGTGTAAAATATACTGTTCATCAAACTTAGTTTCACAGTATTTGTTATGCATGTGTAATGCAGTGAAGAAAAGCCTTTTTGGTCCCAATGCAGTAGCGTTGCAATTAATTTCGCAGTTGTAAAATAAAATTACCAAGGCAGATTTTGAGGCTTTTTCCAGTTTGTAATGTAGCAGAGGGAAGACGAGCAACAAATGATTCTTTGAAAGCACAACGATCATTCACAAATGACACAAACGTTTGTTGTATGGACTGAATGTCAGCAAATGAGACATCGTACTTGATGAATAATACTCTGCTGCTCTAGAGAAAATTCCTAGTGTTCTGATGTTTTTTTACCTTCAAATGTCATTTTGAAGCTTGTGTGGCTGTTTCAGATTAGGACACAGGTTTATTCTCAGTTTCTGATCCCATTGTCTGTGGAGATTGTAGTTTTAACTGTAGTGTTTGATGTCATCGTTACTATTGTGTGTTTGGCAGTGCCTGGGCATTTTGAGTTTTGTCCTCACTAGATACAGATCCTTTTTATCCTCATTACATCTGAGGTATTATTGTGAATATGTTTGTTTTTAATAAGTTTCAGGTGGAGCCAGATTGTTAAGAGTATAAAGCAGTTTATAGTGTTTTCATTTTAAAATCCTGATATTTTGGGATAACATTAATGTTGACATTTAGGAGTAAAGACACATACATTTTTTATCATAGGATGAAGGATATTTCAGATTCCCAATTTCTTAATTTTCTTCACATTGGTATGACTTACCTCATCTGTGACGAGCCCATGTTGTGTGGCTCTTGGAAATTGTGGCACTTTTTTGTTGTCTTCCTTTTTTGTTTATGATTAGATCATCAGAACATTTTTAGACTAACATGTCATAGTAAACAGATTTAAAGGAAAACAAATTCTTCCTGAAGGTCAGAGAACATGAGCCAACACTGTGCTTATTGGCTGTAATTGAATCCTGGTCAAATCTGGCTGCTTAGGGAATCAGTAGATATGATACGGTCCCTGCCATTGTATATCTTTTGATGGAAATGGATTACTAATGCTGAAGTGAGGTGACCATGGAAACATATTTTTAGATCTACCAGTGTGTGTTTTTACTGGTATGTTTTATTAAACTTGTCAGTCTTGTGTTTATCATTTCTATTCTGTAATTTAATCAAATGGTTACAGACTTTTGAATGAAACCCAGCTGACACAAAAACAGTTTTCATTGAGTAGAGCTGTCATGAGACTGAAACAGTGATTATAACATCCACTATGATGTAACACGATACAGGAAGATTGTATCATGATACTTCCAACTGAATGTGTCATGTGAATCTCTTTGGACAATCACAATAAAGTGACTAGTTTGGTTAGTTTAGTTGGTTCAGGTATTAAACCCAGAGAAAACAGATTCCATGAGAACATTCAAGTCAGCAGTGTGGGAACAGAAATGTAGGTCTGAACAAAACTGTGGATTTGTTACGCATGACTTATTGTGGCATGTCATTGCTGAGCAAATGCAGGTACCACTCCATATCAGTCTTATTGGTCTTGTCAAAATTAACTATAGATTTTATATTGAGTTGGCTGTCTATGATTATTTAGATAGTTTAGTCTTGCATATTCATTAAAATAGACAATAATGCAACGATTTGATTGATTTAATTATAGAAGTTCTACAATTAAAAGGTTGATTAACTAATATCCCTCCGCTTTGCATATTGCAGCAATTCTGAATACACTTTTCAGCAAATGCAGTGCTTGTTGTGGACATGTCTTTCAGCATAACATTTATCTTTTTAGCCAGTTTTTCGTCGCAGATCAAGCTTTCTTGTAAATCAGCAGCACTGGTGGTGAAAGCAAACAAATCCGTCCACGTACTATAAAATGTTGTCCTCCATGTTTGAGGGATTTATATCTGGCTTAGCACTCAAGCTGTTTAGACAGAGACATGGGGAGACGGAGGAAGAGGTTGGACATTTTTTAAAAATTCCCTGGCTGCAAAAGAACCAGGGAATTTGCAGTTACATCATATGCATCTTAACCATTCCGCTATCAGGACACCGCCAGAGTAATGTACAGTCTTTATTTAATATTGTCTTCTTTTTTCTGCTTATTTCAGCTGATAACAATCATCGCTTGAATCTCTTCTTCCTTGCCAATGATGTGATACAAAACTGCAAAAGAAAGAATGCCATTGTCTTTCGTTCAGCCTTCGCAGAAGTCCTCCCTAATGCTGTTCTCCTTATTAGGTGAGTACTCAGGGTTGGTGTTTACCTGTTTTATTGACCATTTGATAGAAGTCTCTGTTGTTTCAAATTTTCATGGATATTACTTGTTAAAACGAGTGTGATTTCCCTGTACATGTTGTCATGTTGTGTCATCCTTTTTCCATGTCAGAGATGGAAAGGTACGAAAGTCAGTGGAGAGGATCCTAACAATTTGGGAGCAGAGGACTGTGTATCCTGAGGAGCTCATCACCCAGCTTAAAATCAACCTGACCAAAAGGGAAAAGGATCGAGAGAAGCAGAAGCAGAAAGAAAAGGAGAAAGAAAGGGAGAGGGAGAAAGAAAAGGAAAAGGAGAAAGAGAAAGAAAAAGAGGCTCCACCTGCAAATGGTCAGTTTGTCATAATGTTAATCACATCTAAAAGTGCAGTTTTCTTAAGTTGCATCTTACTAATGTTAGATTGTAAATTAAATCCAGAAGCAACTGTAAGTGTATATTTAGTTTATATTTTGCTTTTAATCTTTAGCCCCGGCTGTCAACAAAGCTGCTCTCAAGTCCAAGATTGTAGCAGAGTTCACGGTGAGTTTTTTGTTGTGTTTGATATCTTTTTCTTGCATGACTCAACCACTTGTTCATATATTGTCGACCGTTGCTCTGTAGAACTGAATTTTCTCTTCTTCTCTAGCCTCACTCCTTTGTTGAACAATTGTCGAGATATAAGAGAGCAGTGGCAGAAGAGGAGCTCAGGGAGAAGCAGCTGGCAGCTCTCAGGCTGGATGTCTGCAGCACAGAGGCCCTCAAGAGACTTAAAGGTCAGATGTCAACAAGCTTATTTCTGCATCAGCACACACTCATTGTCCTGTGCACTTTGTCTTAGCCCCAATCACACTCAACTCTTAATGTGTCTCCTCTTCATGCGAAAGCAGTTCACAGTTAACCCTGAGATTATCATGAAGTTTTTTGTTTTAACTGATGCTGTTGATTCAGTACATAATGTATATTCTTCTGTAAACCACAAGAACATCCACTTGTCTCTAAATAGCACATGCCTAGTACTTTTGTAGGTTTTATACAATGCTATACTACTATATACTTATTACAAGGCAAAAATATCCACAAAAAGTAGAAATAACTTTATTGTAAAGTATGTTACATCAGTAAAAGGAATTATATTAAACCTTTTTCATGTCAATTTCTCCTGCTGCAGACAAGGCAGGAGGGAACAAGTTTGCGAAGGACGTTGAGGACGGCAGTTTAAAGCTGCAGGAGTTTGTCAGCTTCCTGGATAAAGATTTGAAAACAGGGCCTCCTCTGCTGGAAGCTTTGGGAAATGCAGACATTTTCTACGAGATGCAGTACAAGGAGGTTAAGATTGTGGCCAATGTGAGTGACTTTTATTTTGATAATATGATTCTTGTATTGCTTAGTCAGAAAAGTTGTTGAATTGATCCTGGGAAAAATATAAATGTTACAATAAATTCAATGTTATTTTCTTAATCCTGCATTTAATTCTGTTTCTTTTACTTTCTTGCTGCCGTTCTGTTCAGGCATACAATGCCTTTGCCAACCGTGTGGCCAGTCTTAAAAGGAAATTGGATTCCCTCAAGTCGACTCTTCCTGGACCTGATGACTCCCCCATCCCCTCTCCCTCTGAAGATGCTCCCTCCCCGACTGGCTCCGACTCACCTTTCCTGGGACCGGTGGCTACCAGAGCCCAGGTGGATCCAGAGCTGGATGGCAAAGCCATGGATGAAGGAGAAATACAAATTGACAATAGAGACATGGAGGACATGGATATGTCTGATGAAGAAGCCGATGCTGCCACAGCAGGTTAGTGGCTGCAGAGTGTTTTAGGTCTTAGGTTGCAGTGTTAAAAAATAAATTCAGGGCCAGGCTGCCCTGTTGTAGCGTTGTGATTTAGAATTTAAACTTTATCAGCTATTGCAATATTGTCATCAACAGATGAGAAGAAAGAAAAGGCGTCTGCTGCTGTTTCCAAGGCTGCAAAGTCCGATTTGGCCCCAAAGCTTCCAACTACACCTACAAAAGCTGCTAAGATGAATGCTAACGCTGCTGCTGTTACAGCAACTCCAGTGACTTCCACCTCGGCCTCTGCTCAGAGTGCCCCCACCAGCCCACTGGGAGTCAACCTGGCGAAGGTCGACTTAGGAAAGATCAGCTCGATTCTCAGCTCCCTCACATCTGCCATGAAGAATACAGGTTTGTTTGGGACAAAACCGTAAATTATTAATCAATAATAAACATATATTTAACAAGTCTCCTGGGATCATAAGTAATTGTGAGAGTCAGTTAAATCTACAGTCAAGTTCTGACAGATACACAGTGACATTTCTGTAAGTACAATGTTTTATATTCTTTGGAAGTTATTGGTTGTTCCTGTTAACAATATTTTTGATGCGATACGTACCTGATGCAAACAATACGATACATTAAAGTTGATATGCAGTGAGATTCTACACATTGCAACTTTTTGTGATATGATGCAATTATGTGGTACAGATAGTTTGATTTTTAAGCAGACAGTAATGTGGAAATAATAAATAATTACAAAGTGAATTCCTGCTTCATAATCCAGTGTAGTACTACTACTACTATTGTGGTGAAATAACTGAGACATCTTGAATTATTAACTTTACCACAATGTGATTTCTCTCTTTTGATCTACATGATGCAGTGCAGGATTCTAAGTATAAGATTTTAGTTTAGAGCTTCAAATGTATCTGTCTCTCTGTCCTTGACTGTCTCTCAGCAGCTAGTCCGTCACCTCGACCGTCTCCCGGAACTCCCACCACCCCCTCTGCCCAATCAGCAGCCTCCAAAGTGACCCCTCCAAGCCCTGCCCTGGCCAGCATCCTGTCACGTGTTGACATCACACCTGAGGGCATACTCAATGCTCTGTCTAAAACAAACACACCAGGTAAGATCCACAAACGCTGCTTATATTTTTAATTAAAGATGATATTAAAAAATAATATGTATATGAAACGATCTTACTTGTCCCCCTGTGTTACTATCCTGGCACAGGTTTGTCCTCTCTCCTGCAAAGTGTTACAAACACTGCCTCAGCTCCTCCTACCAGAACCTCCCCTGAGTCTTCAACAGTTAAAACCGCACTCACCCCAACAACCCCAAAACCAAAACCCAGTCTGGGGAACACCCTCAAACGAGACATATCTGGAAGAACTAGAGACTGGGAAAAAGAGAGACAGCTGTCCCCTTCTCCACCTCCTCGTCCCACAGCTCCTTCTGTCTCTCCCCCCAGCCTAGAATCAAAAATCAACAGTTTCTTGCAGGGAAATCCAGGTTTTAGTCTTGCTCTAGGTGATGCCAGTCCCGATGGGGTGGACGGGACCCCAGTGAGAGATGAGGCGGCTGGAACCCCGACCCAGGATGAGATCATGGACACGCCTGGGAGTGTGCCAGAATCTCTAGGGTCTTCTGGAGGTCATAACCTCTCACCCACAGCCTACCGCAAGGAACCCTGGGATGCTGTGATCACCCCGTCAGGAAGCAACAGCGATGGAGAGTTCCTGAGCTCCTCTTCTTCCCGATATGGAGCTGGGAAAAAGATTAGCACAAAATTAAAGGAGGATGAAGTGATGAATGTAAGGAGGCAGGTCTCGTCCTCCCCCAGTAATGACATGAAGAGTAAGAAAGATGGACAACACAACCAGTTTAGGATGATGGGCATCAATAGAGCGGGAGAGAGGAGACTCTCTGCAGGCTCTCGTAAGACGAGCACTGGCTCAGATGACGGAAATCTGATTGGAAAAAGAGAAGACAATGGGAAAGAGTCTGCAGGCAGGGATAGGAAAGAGGGTCAGTACCATCGTATTGAGACACTAGTGTCACCCTGCACTGAAGGGGCACCTATCCAAACTCTGGGCTACTCTAATCGCCCTCTCGCTGGAGAGCGCATCAAGACGGTAGAGAGCATCCGCGTGATTGGCAGAGGCTCTAGGCGAGGAGGAGGGGCTGGCGGTCGGCCAGGGGGAGCGATGTGGTATGAAGAGGAGGAATACATGGAAGCTCAGCCTCCCTCACCCCACACTGGCCCACCTCCTCTTAACATTGGCCAGGGAGGCGCAGAGGACATGAACCCCTCCATGCCGCCTCCTCCTCCTCACCCACAACTCCTCCTCCCTCATCTCCATCTGCCTCCGGGCCACCCTCACCCACACCCTCCTCCCCAAGCTCAGTTCCAAATGCCCTACCACACGGACCCTCCACCATCACACCTCCACCAGCATCCTCCTCCATCCTCTTTCTTCAGCAGTCCTCCACCGATTCCCCGACCCCCTCCACCCCCTTTACCACAGCACTCCACCGTGCCCTCTGCAGTCATGGTGGGAGGAGTGTTGGTCCCCGTTGACCGTCCCCTATCTCTTCCTCCCCAAATCAGACCTGAAGGTGCTGAGCGAGGCGGAATGGGGACCAGAGGAAACAAAGGTGGTCCTCCACCCCTCATGACATCATTGCTAGGTGAGCCCCCTAAAATGCCCCGTCCTGGCACAGTTAAAGAGCCTTTTTTCCCACGCCATGCACCCCCTCTTCACCGCCCAGGTACCCCTGGTGTCCCTCCACCTTTACTGGGCAGAGTGAAGGAGCCTCTCAATCTACCTCTTCCACCCCGCTCTCCCTCCTCCACATCCTCCACAACATCTCCCTCCACACCTAATTCCCCTGCAGTCGACTCCGCCCCTGGTCGTCTCCCTTCTCAGTCTGCTGCCCCCCCTCTCCAGAAACCCCCTACTAGTCCTCCACCTCATCCCCGCAACCAAACCTCAAACCCAGTCCCCCTCCTTAACTTGCCCACTTCTCGGCCCCCAAACCTTTCAGGTCCCATCTCACAGAGACCTCTGCTGCGAGGCCGTACACCCTCTCACCACCATAACCAAGATCACCACATGGGGGGATTTCGTGGGGGCAAGCGGCACGGTCCTCCATTCACAGGTGGTCCTTTCCATCATGGGCAGAAGAGACCCTTCCTACCCCCACGCTACTGAAGTGGTCATCTATAACAAGCTGAATGAAGTGCAAGCCACACATCTAGCAGTGCAGTGTGTGTGTTAGCCCCACTGGTATGAGCCCAGATATCTTTACTCTGTTAATTAGCTTAAAACTACCTTGATTCATGTGTAAATAACTGATTACATTTTCATGCTTCAGCTCTGTAGGCAGCCTCTTTAAATTGTACAGCTAAGAGTTCAAGCTACATCGTGCAGAGTGTTGTGTATCAACCCTCAACCTGTCCCTTCTTACCATTTCTCCATACACAATAGAGACTAGTTTCATTAGGTCCAAGAGTGACATAACAATAGGAATGAAAAAGATAGTTGAAGCAGAAATGAAACTATACTTAGAAATGTTCTACCTGTGTGATTTCTGAGTTACACCACCTGAGAGAGTGAAACAGAAAAGGAATGGGTGTCGTGGGATACAGAGGAAACATGAAGCAATAGTTTGATTAAATGAGCCTATTTGTTTTCTTTTTGAGGGTTGGATGAGAAGATCAGATCAATCTGTTCGCTAAACATGAAGCTACAACCCATTTAGCTTAGCATAAAGACTGGAAAAGGGGCAATATGTCACCTGGCATATGTCCAACTGTAAAAAGTATATCGAGTTATGAACACCTCTAAAGCTAATTTCTCTTATTTTTTATATTTGATCATCAACATTGTTCCTGAAGCATAAAAGCTGTTTTATTTTCCAGTCTTTATGCTACGCTAAGCTAATATCTTTTATCACCAGCTTCATATTTGTCCCCTAAAAAAACTAATTACATTTTCAAAAATGTCAAACTATTGCTTTTAAAATGTTTAATGGAAACGATGAAAGTTGGTTTGAAAGTTATCTTCTCTTCTGTGGGTGTGAGTGCGTGTATTTGTCTGAAAAAAAAAGGTATTTCTCATTTGAAGTAATGAGATTTGTGTTGCAGCCGAGGTTAACACTTGTTCATATTTCCAGAGAACCTGCTGTAAATAATATTCTTCTCCTGCTCAAACCTTTTTCACCTTTCTATTTCTCCCACTGTATATTTCTAAGCTTGTAAATATAAAAAAAGAAACTGAGATGATGCAGCTTTTTCTCTTCAAGCTCTTGTTTCTGGTTAGAGGCAAATGATCACCTCTCAAGCACCGTTCGTCTTTACTGTGATTGAGGCCTTGGATAAGCTTTTAGCCCCGGACGAATTTCTCTGCAGTTATCTGTTGCGCCTTTCTGTCCTCCTTTTTGAAAACCACCATGCAGAAGAGGAGGGTGAAGATAATTCTGTTTTTTATTTCTAACATTAATATCTGCCTGTGCGCGCTTCAAGTTAGACCCCAGTCGTCAAGATACCACGTAGAGGATGGCGGGTGGGGGAGGCTTTTCAGGTTGGACCACATTCTTGCTCGGCTTCAACATGTACTGACTTGAATAAAATCCAGAGTTTCAATTCAACTGGGGGGGAGGTATTTTATTTGGTCACTATTAGTCACTTGAATTGCGCTGTTGTAGTTTAATTGCGCTGTTGGGCTGTGTTTTCTGCCTGTTCACCAAGAAGCTGATTTCATTTACCTACACAGCTGCTGCCATTTCCATTTTTTTTTTGTTGCGCTTTTTGTGTTGTTTTTTAACTACAAAGATCTGGTCATTTCTAGCAGCAGCACCCACATGTGTTATCAGAAAGACATTAGAGCCAGTTAGGATTGTTTTGTAAATGGTTTCTTTAAATGTTCCAGTTTTGGCCCCTTCTCTTTTATTTCTTTGCTACTTTGATGCTTTCGCCCCCAAGTCCCCTTGTGCTCACATGGCTTCATCCAAAAACACTCAAACAAGGGTCAGCACGATGTCAGCAGCTTTCTTATACAGGAGCTGTTGATGTGATGCTGCACGCTGCCCTGCGCTGATGTGGTGTATCTACACAGTGAGAGGTGCAGGCTGAGTGTTTCTGTCAAAGCCTCATATCTCCTGAGTTTGTCTGATCATGGAGTGTGTGTTGTCTCCTGTGCTCATTCACAAGTTGACTTGAAAGTACAGTTTCATCGACGCACGCTGGGCATCTGCAGATGCTCCCATGTAAAGCTGGTAAACAGATACGTCATAGAAATTTAACAACAAAGATCTTATTTGTCACAATAATTGTCGGCACATCCTCCGAGATCTTTTACTGAATGTTATACAAAGTCTGTTACAACTCTCTGTAAACTGTTACCTGTCTTCTCTGCAGTCACAATCCAACCGCTAATTATCAACCCACACACTGTGTTCACAGAAAAATAGACAAACTGTTAAACATCTTTATGCTCACTAAGCACCTTCTGAAGACTTTTATTGCTCTTGTAAATAACCTCTTTTCATTTCCCCCTCAAGAAAAGTTTGTTTGAAAATGACTGACGATGTGTGTCTGTGTATATTGAGAAGTTGCTTTTACTGCTGTTCTCATCAACGATGCTATATCACTGGTCTTCGAGTGTCCAATCCTTTCTGGTGTGATGCACACATTCCGCAGCAGTTATTTGACACAGTGAAAATATGAATACATCCTTTTACTTTTTTTACAGGACACATCACAGTATTATACTGAAGACTTTTGTTTTGTTTGTATTTTTGTTCTTATTTATTTTTTATTATTAGTGCTTTAATGGGTTGACTTCCGTCAATTATCATCAAACATTTAATATATCTGTAGTTTTGTCTGAGTAACTGACTGTAAGCAGTCGGTGCTCTGTCTAAATTTGCCATGGGAGGTATTTTGCTGTTTTGAAACCTTGTTTTCTCTTGCAAATATGTCAACTCACTTTTTTCTCAGTACCTCATTGATACGTTTTTTTGTTTCCACTAAACATTTGCACATTACATTACACACAGTTGATGGAAGGCCATGTTTTCTGGAAATGTCATTCAAATTGGCTGCCGCACTACTGATGTTGGCTTTAAACTGCAGCATTGCCAGTTATTACACAGGCCCAATTAGTTTAACTTTGCAGCCATAACCTCCTTTACAATTTCAAAGAATAACATAAGCAGTGGCTGTGCAGTTACTACTAAATGTAGTATTATATAATTAATACGACACAAGGATGAATCACCTTCATTCATGTTGAGGTCAGCTACACTGGACATATGGAAGTTTTATTGTGGCCTTCATGCCATCGTCTGTGTAGTGTTGTTAATTGTACATCCAAACTGGTGCTTACGTACTTCTACTGTATTTGCACCATGAGACAAAACTACCAGCTCTTCTTTTCAGGCAGTGGATCTGTTTTCCCTTCAAAAGATGTAGCCTGGTTATATTACTACATAGTGTCTATGTACATGTGTGTACATTCAGCTTCATTCTACTGTGGACATGGTGACATTAGTCCCAGATCTTAAACTCACACAGGGTTTATGAAGAGTTGGGTAAAACAGCAGTTAAACACTCCAGGTTTGGTGTTAATGTATGTATAGGCTTCTGAATACATGGTGTTTACAGTTAAAGGCTTAAATAGACGGTATCAGAGAAAAGGGCCTCATCTCCTTACATGCAATCTGTGCACTTCACTAAGAAGAGGGACCATACAACTTCCCAAAGTGTTGTAGCTCCCCCAAGTGGCAGTTCAGTGGTAACTCTAGCTCTTATGTCAGTGTCCATGAAGCACAGTAATACTGTTACTATGGCACAGCCAACACATGACGCTGACATTTTAAAGTGTTCCTGTGTTATTGCAGGTTACTTTGATTTTATTTATTTTTGTTACTAACTTAAATCACTTATTTGATTGAAAACTTAAATGCAGACCAGGTTTAGATGTTAAATTCAACATTTCATAACTTTTGCACTTTGCTGTAGTAGTATCCAGAGGGAGGATGTCGTAGAGGGTACATTTATAATTGCGTTCAGTTAGGTTGATTCTTATTGATCCACATTCTACCAATTCTTAAGTTGTGTGCAGCTCAGGATCCCTCCTGTTCAGTGTGTGTGTGTGCATGCGTGCGTGTGGTCACACTAGAGAATCAGTGAAGTACAGACACGGTTCGTATGTGTGTGTGTGTAGTGAGTCTGTGGTCACGCACTAGAGGYTCAGTGAAGTACAGACATGGTTCGTGTGTGTGTGTAGTGAGTCTGTGGTCACGCACTAGAGGGTCAGTGAAGTACAGACATGGTTCGTGTGTGTGTGTAGTGAGTCTGTGGTCACGCACTAGAGGGTCAGTGAAGTACAGACACGGTTGGTTGTGTGTGTTTGTGTAGAGGTACATGATGTTGAACCCAGTGTGAAGCTCCTGCTCTGACTCTGCGTGTGCACATCTCGTTACTGCAGATGTTTCGCTCTGACCACATGTGCAGCTCCTCTGCGGAGGCGCGCTCTGGTCTAGACGGTAGACAATCGGAAACGCGCACGCTACTTCATGGCGGCGTCACGGGCTTTCCGTCCTGACGTCACCGCTGCTGTCCCACTTCCGCTGTAATGGCCGCTTACGTTGAATGTAGTGTAGGAGATTTAGAATCGAACGTGTGATTTTAGACTGGTGTGTGTGCGCGTGATGGCGGTGATACAGCTGTTACAGCTGTTTGTCTGTCGACCGGCAGCTCGTGCGACGCTCCGCGCGCACAGGAGGAAGTACAGTCAGGTGCGCGTGCTTGTTATGACAGCAGTACAGTAGCTACAGCTAGCGTTAGCATCAGCACTGTGTGTGTGTGTGTGTCATCATCTATCTAGCATCAGTCGTACATTGGTCTTATTCCAGTTGTTCAGATATAGTTTTGTATCTCTCATGTTCTGTAGCTACAGTTCAGCTGAAATCATCAGTCAATTGAAAACTAAATCTATTTGGATTGTGGGATTTATTTTATTGTTCTGCTTTTGTTTCATATGATTTCAAATTAAATATCTTTGGAACAGAGCTGTGTAATAGGGAAGAACAATTATATCAAGATGAAGAAAGTTATATTAGTTGATATATTATCACTATAAATGTCACATTATTATTATTTTAGGTTTAAAACAGATTTTTGTTCCTGTGTGAAGTTTGTGGTTTTAAACTCTCTTTTTTTATCAGCAGAGACTGAGAAACACTTGACAAACAAAATATTGTATACATATTTTGATGAATATATATAGATTATTAATATTGTTTTTTTACTCAGTTCTAATTTTGACCCATTGATTGAGCAGAAAGGCTCTTTGAGCCAATAATCTGAGATAGACAGTCATTACCTTCAGACCTTATCCTGTCAAATCAAATAATCTTTTAATTGAGAAAGTGGCAGATTCATCAACAATGAAAATAACTTAGTTTTAACCTTAATATACAATAGACTATAGTGTTCGACATGAAATAAACCCATCAACGCTTAATCCTTAGTGATTGATTTTAATATGTTGTTTTTCATTCATTTGGATGTTGCAATAATACAGCTATAAAAGATGAAAGAAAACATGAAGCTGAAGCTTTTAGGCACTGTGTCATTATACTGTTGATACTGAAGCCTGATTATCATGTGTGCAGTCTAATACAATAGTCCCTCAGTAAATCCTCCCTTCATCAAGGTTAGGATTAAGTTTTGATTGAAACTGTTATACTGAGGTCTTCAGCCTTGGAGGACTAACTGCATCAATCCTACAGGTTGTTCTAACATAAGTCCACACTCCATGTATTATTCAGAGTAATACCTAATGTAAACTATTGATAATGAGGGAAAACAAGGCTTGTGTGCATCGTCCACTCTGCAAGAATACTGAAATATTAAAAATCCTTTCATGTTATAACAATACAGCATTTAAACTGAGGTTAAGATAGCAATTACATTTTGTCATAGTCAAATTACTATATGTTCATGATTATACATGTATTCTACCTCCCAGTAGAACTACACACATATATATGTAACCTGCTTTTCTGCTCCTCTTTCTCTATTGTTCCCCTGGTCTCTGTCTCCTAGTTCACATTTCACCTCTGCCCACTCTCTTCCTTTCCACAGCTTTTGACATTTATCTCTCTCTTTCCAGCTGCAGGTGTCGCCAGTTTTATCGGAGCGACTGCAAGTCTTCGAGTCGCTCATTGAGAAACGAGGCATTAAGAAGAGAGTTGAAGCTTCAGAGAAACCACTGAGCATTCGATTAGCTGACGACCGGACAGTGAAGGGAAAGGCAGGAGTGACCACACCTCTCTTGGTTGCTCAGAGTGTCCGGTAAATACACTACTCATGCAGAAAAGTTTCATTTCGTCATATTTATTTTCACCATAGTGTTGTAACAGTGTTATTGCATGTGCTCACTGCAGGGTGAAGGGAGCACTGCTGAGTAAGGTGAATGGGGAGCTGTGGGAGCTTGGACAACCCCTAGAGGCAGACTGTGAACTGCAACTTTTGGGGTTTGACACAGTTGAGGGAAAACAGGTAATCCCACCTTTTAGTTTAAGGTGGAACGTCCACTTTTTTTCCCCTAATCATTTTTATTGACCTTAGTGGGAAGTGTCCAGGTAAAAATGCATGAGGTAAACTTAAAATATAGGATCAGCAAAAGACAATCATGCCACTGAGATATTAAATGAACTAACATTTGAATATTGTTCATTATATTCTAATTAATTTAATTATGGAAGGGAGTAGTTATGAAATGCACCCCCCCTGCTTTGTTAGGCAGCATGGAGGACAGCAGCGTGTGTCCTTGGCGGCGTGTTGGAGGGGGTCTTTGATGCCAAGGTTTGCAGAGAAGGAGCGTCAGAGCTTGGGTTTTACTGTGACCATCTAAAAGATAACAGGTGAGCTTTTCATGAAACTATTTCTGATGTATTGAAAACATGTCCCGTGATGTTTTGCTTTTTGCTACATCTGTCATATCATCATTATCAGGCTCTGCGTAGACTACTCACATTTGTAGAATACCATAAGAATAAGTGACTGAAACACAAATAATGTTTCTGTTTTGTTTTTTTTCAATAACATTTTAGTTTATTTTCCTTGAAGAGATTGATTAAGAAGTGATGGTCTGTTGTTTTCTTATTTCTGTTCTGCTATGACTCATTTTGCCCTGCAGGGTGTAGTTAAACTCAAACATACATATACAATCCCTTTCCTCCGCCATAATCATGTTGACACTCCGTGGCTGTGTCATCCTGCTGCAGATTAGTGATGTTTTACCTGAATCTGTCTTCACCTCCAGTGCCTTGTCTCTAGTTGATGTGGAGGAGAGATGTAAGGAAGCTGCAGCTCTCAAACTTCCTCTTTCCAGACTGGAGCTGAATGGAGAAGAGGTGCAAGAGCTCTTCCAGGTCAGTGATAAAGATGTCTCGGCTGTACCAATACACACGTTTCACTTCAGACATTTTGACTCCTGTTCTGTCAGTTTCAGGAACCTGGTTTAAACCTTTTGTGTTTTCTTTGCTTGATGCAATGACGTCAAATATTTGCCTTGAATTTGAGTTTTTCTAAATATGTAAATTGTTATTAGTTTACATTATATTAGTTGTTATTGAGAAGTT